AGATAGGAGGCGCGAGAGGTTGGGAACATCTCTCGGAGGTATATAAGAAATAATATAGGCGAGACTGGACTCCCTTGTGGGATTCCAGTATCGATTCTACTATAGTTTTCTATTTCTCCGTTGAAGGCGAGGCCGAGGGTTCTCTTATTTAAGAAAGATCTTACCTACGCGAGTAGGTTTAGCGGAAGCCCTATTCGTGCTATTCTAGCTAGTAGCTGTTCTTGGGCGACGTGATCGAAGGCGCCTTTAATATCTAGGAAGAGAACCGAGGTTTTGCGCTAGACGCGGCGGTTCTCTTCGACTTTATTAGCTAGTAAAAGGGCGGCGTCGATAGCGGACTTCTTTAGCCTTCCACCGATTTGTGAAGGGTCTAGAAGTTGCGTAGTCTCTGCTAGGTAGCCTAGTCGTTTTGCAGTAATTCGTTCGAGAACTTTTCCAAGGCAGTTAAGTAGAGATATAATTCGATATGACTTTAGTGCAGCCTTATCGGGTTTATTCTTACTTAATACTGCGCCTGTAGCGGTTCTCCAGCAGACTGGGTGGTACCCGTAGCTGAAGAGAGTGCTATAGGCTTTAAGGAACGTCTGGGGAGCCGCGTTAAACGCTTCGGTAATTATCTCTTGCGTTATAGCGTCGGGCCCAGGGGCGGTTCCTTTAACTTGGGAGGAGCATGCTCGTTCTAGTTCTATAGCACTTAGGCTAGGCCAGTCCCAGTTCGTAGAGCTATAGCTTTCCCAGTTGAAAGGTGGTGCTGTAGGTGGCGGAGGAAATAGGCCAGCTCTTAACGCGGCGCACTTTCCTGTAAAAGAATCTGCTAATCTATTATCCTGCGCTCGTATCTGTGGGATAGAGACGTAAGAATTAGGTTTAGTATAAGACATTGCCTTGTATATAGTATCGGGCGTGTTCTTTAGTAGGAATTGGTTCCAGTGCGTTCGTTTAGCTCTCTTTACCGCTGAGAGAAAGGTATTACGTCTTGTGCAGTATTGTTCCCTATGCGTAGGGGTTGGGAGGCGAGAGTATAGTCTATCAGCGCGTCCTAGGGCGCGTCGGAGGTTGGTAAGTTCCTCTGACCACCACGCTTTGGACCGAGCTCCTGGTTTGACACGTGGAATAGTAGTATCCGCGGCGTAGGTTATTGCTTGTTCTAAGCTTCTACCTAGCTCGTCGAGCGCCGGGATAGTAAGGTTACTTCCGTTAACTATTTCCCGAGATATTTTACTAGGTGGCCCTAGTAGGTTGACGTCTTGTAGGGCATTATCTACTAGGGTCTCTAATTGATGTTGTACTATTTCTCGAAATTTAGGCCAGTTGGCCCTCCGTGTATTAAACCGGGTTGTTGTTGGCTCAGTCGATTTGGTAGAGCGGGTTTCTGGGTCGATAGTAAATAGAATAGGGCGGTGGTCCGAACCGAGGCTCGGGGTAGTTTGCCAGCCGTTTACTCTTCTTGCTAAAGAAGGGGAAGCAAGTGTTAAATCTATTACCGTTTCGCGCTCTAGATGCGGCCGGAAGAAGGTACCCTCTCCCGGGTTATTTAGGAGGCTTAGGTTATTAGATTCGAGCCAGTCTACTAGCTCTTGTGCGCGTGGTCCTTGAGGAGAGCGGGGGTCCTACTATGGGTGATGCGTATTAAAGTCCCCGGCTATTATAGAAGGCGTGGTTATCTGGTAATAGCCTAGGACGCGTTCTATTGTATAGGGAGAACCGGGTTCTCGCTGGTTCGGTTGGTTATAAAGGTTAACTAGTTGGAATTGGCTTGTTCCTTGTAGTATATCTAGAACCATTGTATCCGTGGAAGCGAAGAGGTCGGCCCTAAAGTTAACCTGCGTGTCGGTTAAGAACCGAGAGGTATAAACTAGTACGCGTGGCCTTAATCCAGTAGGAGTTTCCGGGAGAGTTTGGATAAATGAGGTATGGTTTATAGATCGAGTGTCAGAGGGATTAGAGGAGATTAAAACCCACGGTTCTTGTATAAGAATTAGGTTGACGTTAATCTCTAAAGCGTAATTAAGGAGAGCTTCAGTAGTCTCCTTATTTCGGTTTACATTTGCCTGTAAGACTCTAATAGATCCCATATAGAAGGACGTCTATTTTCGAGGGGGAGAGGCCTTCCGGGGACCTCTTAGCTTTTCCGCAGCGCAGCTAACTCCGAAGAGGTAGAGACGTCCTGATATAGCTTTTAAGGCTTCCCGTTCTGATTCGAAGGCGAGGGTTACAGAGCCGGCCTTAGCTGTCTGCCGTTTTTCTTCGGAGGTTAGCCAGTACGGGTTACCGACGGGATTAAGACCTTTATTAAAGGTCTTTACTTCGTCCCGAACGAGCTCTGCGAAAGATTCTCGAGATTCGTTTAGGATGTCAGCGGTTGGGACTCCGTGTACGGCTATCTTGAACCAGCTGCGGTTCTCAACGGCCGATGTAGTAGGAAGAACCGAGTCAATAACTGCTTTATTATCTACTAGGAATTTCGCAGAGAGGCCGTCAAATGCTGTAAGGACGAGATTTCCCCGCGGAGAGATTATTGCGGCAGCGATTACAGTCTTTAGCTTCGGGAACTTAAACTGGAAGGCCTTGTTAAGAGCCTGTCTTAGCGAAAAGGATGATAGGTTCGAGAGCTGTGACTGCGTAGCTGGGTTTGCGTCTAGGCGGAACGAGGCTTGTTTGATGACCTTCGGTTTATCTGTAACGGCTAAGGATTTAGCCGTATTCTTGCGAGTAACCGTGGTCCATTTCTCGATATTCTTTCCAGCTATTTCCGCGAAGTTCGGCTGGCGAGGCTGCTCTAGAGGTAGT